TTTTTGTATAACAGTTTTTGTCTTCTCATGCCTCGACTTTTATATGAATATTAATGATATGAACTTATATTTCCGCTGCTTCATACAAATTGATATTCGTCACTCTGAGAAAAGTAATAGGCAAATGTGTTTCGACAATTTTAATATTTAAAATGCTGAATGTAAACATTGCCTTAGCCCACTCTAGCTGTTATATTACAGTAATGGTGTTGGTATATTTACTTCCTAACGTTGATTTTAGGTTTTAAATATGAGTCTCACAAAACTTATTTTTCTTCTCCCTTTAATGACGTGGCTTTATATGAATATTAATTTTTTTTTTCTTCAAAATATTTTTTCCTCCATCTTAAACAAAAATATTATTCACCGTTTTGATGGAAAAAGTGTTGTTTAAATATGTTTTAACAGTTATATAATTAAGTCAGCTTTTTTTTCTTCAAGATAGTTAACTCAGTTTGAATAAATTGAGTGAAGATCAAACCTTTTTCTTTGAAGTATGTACTTTAAATACGTGTATCACAAAATTGATTTTTTCCCCTTCCCTTTAATGACGTGGCATTTTATGAATATTCATGATTTTTTAAATATTTTACCTGCTTTCTATCAAACTAAAATATTATTTACTGTTAAGAAGGGTAAAGTGTAGTGCGAATATGTTTTAACACTTATATGATTAATGAAATTATTATTTATTTTTTTCAATATTGTTAACTCAGTTTAAATTATTGAGTGAGGATCAAACTTTTTCCGTTAAAGTTCGAAATGTACGAAATACTTCCAATAAATAAAGGTTTCTTTTTTTTAAAATTGCATTGGGAGTTGGCAATCGTAGTCTTTTTATAAACAGCACTCTATTTTGATACTCATATGAAGTGCATGTTGCTGTCATTTTAATAGGAAAAGATAAAACTGTCATTTTTTGTAGCATGATCTGACTTTTCTGTTGGGAGTACCCTCTATAAAAGTACCCACGGGAAATCGTGAACCCATCCTTCCGTTACTGTTACTAAATAGTGAATCACATCTGTAATAGTTAAAAGCAACTCTACCACAAAACAGTGATAGAAGTTTTTGCAGCTTATTCACATCTTGATAAGTTTTCATTTTATCTATTTTATTTCCTTCACTTTAGCTCTTTGAACTGAAGTCAACTTAAAGGGGACAATTTCTTCGAAAAACAATTTTTTTAATGCTGTTATTTATTTTGCTAACGATAATGTATTTAAGTGCTAGAAAAAATGCAATGTAGATATTTAAAAAAAATTTTGTCTAAAATTTATGTTTTTTTTTTTCTTCTTAAATCTTTCTTTGGTGTCTCCATAGACAAATGCTAAGCGTTAAATTTCTTGCATAGCTACATAGTTTAGTTATGTTCTTTAGTACATGTTTACCTGATAATAGTGCCCCTTTGATTATAATGACCGATGACCTACCGCAATGCTGACGTAAAGTATCCTCAGTGGAAGACGGACCATGGGTTAGAATCTCCCCACCGTCGGGCTAACCATGAGATTTTTTTAAGTAGTTTCTCTCTCTATGTAACGCAAATGTTGGGTTTGTTCCATCAAAAAGTCCTTTATGTAGGCTAGTTAGAATCAATGCTCGATTCCGGAAATTACTTGTCTTCTGAATTTGTTTAAAATTACAACGCTGTTCAACGCCGGTAAAAAAAAATATATATATATAATGACGGATAGTCCATTTTGCAATTTCATGCATCCATAGTTAATTCAACGCTCATTTTAACTTCCGATCTAAACCATTCATTCCGATTTAATCACCGAAATATAATTTCATTTTTTGCTCCCCCCCCCCCAAAAAAAAAAACACTTTGAAAACAACTATAAGACAAAAATTTTAATATTGACATTAATTCATTAATATCAAAAGTTTAAAAGAAATTTTAATGTTATGGCTCACTTGATTGCTATGTTGAATGAGGATTGATACACAACCCCATACGTTCTTATAGTTATAAAGTGATTGTGGGCGTGACCTCTTGTTCGCTTGGTGAAACATGAATTATTTTACAATAAAATTATAATCAAAGGAAATAATAGGATTTTATTGAAATTTGTCCCGAATTTTCAGCAAATAAAGGTTCGTAAATATTGGTGAATATCACGTTGATATGCACGATGATATATCGCGTTTTAACGTTGTTTTCATTTGGACAACAGAGGCCGTTCATGCATTCGACCATGCATTCTTTGATAAAAATTGTTCGCTTGGGTGTGTACTATCACTTCCTAAAATTTTGCCCATCTTTTTAGAATCACCCTGTATGTATATATATTACAGATACTTTTGAANTAAAATGTTGAAAATCACACACTCGCTTCGGTAAAAGTCTGAAAAATATACTAGGTCTAGTGAAGTGCCACTGCCCGGTATGCCCTACATCAATGTTCTCTTAAGGTCAAGTGAAACTGCCCAGTATGTATTTAACCGGTACTCCGAACACTGATGGTTCTACTAATCTATCCTCAGCAGATATTAAAATATATAATAAATATAATAATATCAACGAATAAATTAATATCAAATCGGATATAACAAATATTCCGGGCATTCACCAAAGCGACCATGCGGCTGACATTCACCGGTGAAAGTCGACATTCTCTTGATATCGGTCATTCACGGTAACATTTATAAATTTAAACTGTAAAGTTCAAAATGGAAATGATTAGTTTTTATTGTATTACTGAAATCCATTTAAAAAAATATTTGTGTTATAAATGTGTTAATTCTGTTGATATGGATATTGTTCACAGGATAAAAATAACTGACACAACTAGCCTAATAAGATTATCATTTCCGGCAAGGAAAATAAAAAAATAAGAAATAAACGTTGCCGTCGAGGAAAATCTCATCCCTTGAAGCCTGACTAATGTTGATCGGATGCACTGCAAAGGGCTTCTGTTATGCCTCATTTAATGGAGAGATAACTTTGAAAGCAAAAAAATAATAAATATTATCTTCTACTTTCTTTGAAACATACATTTTTAAAAATTGATGATAAAGTTACTTTAAGAACACTCAGTTTCGAGACATGCAAAAAGTGAGAGGGTGAAATTAACTGGATGCTGCACCATCAGTTTTATAATAAGTCACCGATAATACTTCAGTTTCAAAGAGATCCAATTGAACTACTATTTATTTAGCTTGACATAATTAATTTACATGTCATTTTGGAAAAGATTTCTTGCGTAAAGATAATAAACGTTTACACTTTTAATATAAGTAGTAATGCATATGTAATATTAGCAACAGCAAAAAAGAGCACAGTATCGTAGCAACGACTCTGAGCTCTCCAATTGAGTTTAAATTGTTCTTGTTGGTGAAAAAACCGAGTTTCGTTGATTTATGTTCGGACTTTCTAAGTTTAAATTCGAAATCAGTTTGAAATTTAAGAATGTGATGACAAAAAGTGGACTTATTAAATTTTGAAGGCGGAGAAATTTTCTATGTAAAATAAGAAGATTTAAACTAATGTTGCATTCATCGTTATCTCTGTTGGGTTTTTTTTAAGGAAAAAAAAACTGATTTTATATGAATGTATTCAAGGATTGTTAATGTCCACACAACATATTGATTAGGTATTCGAGGTGTCTGTCATTTTTATGAATTTCAGTAAATTTTTTATGGAATTTTCTTAAATACACAGGATGCTATAGAAGCACTTAAATAAAAAAAAAAAGAATATGTCATCTTTATATTCTTGAACAACCCCATACCCCATGAAAATAACTATAGTTTTATCGAAAACTCAGCAAACAATTTATTATTGTAAAATACTACACTTATACGAGAGATAAAGTTGCCAAATATATGAATAATCCCAAGAAACTAAAACGGTAAGATATTACTTGGAAATGGCAAGTCTTGAAAATGGTCGCCGAGTTTTAGTGCTTGAAACATGTCGACTGTTATTTCCAAACTGCATATTTTTGAAGCGAAGGGAGTTTTTTTAATCAAGTTGGTGTTGTTGTGGCTTATCCTCCAAATGCCTGACGAAGTCAGACAAGGTCCATGACTAGACTCCATGATCAGATTGTTGAGCCTAAGAAAATCGAGGATCAGAAGGGGGGATGAGTATATGGTCTCTCTGGAAAGTCCCAAACAGTCCAGGATGCGTTCGGGAGAAGCCTGCTCAGTTTGACATTTGGAACAGACCTCAAAGATTCTCCTGCCTTCGAAAAACGAGATACTTTTTGTGTGACCGTTTTTTAATCAGGAAAGTGCGTTTAATCAAGTAAATACATTAAATATAGTCTAACACAAAACCTATCTGCGAGTAAATTCTCGATTTGTTGATTACTTATCCCAAAAACAAATGCCAATAACGTTTTGCTTGTAACTTAGCAATCTCTTAGAAAGTTTATTTATGTAAACATGGGTTCCTGCTCCAACTACTAGGCTCCTTCTCTTTCATTTTTTCCTTTGTTTTCTCTTTTATTTCAGCATATGAATTGATTTGCAATATCGTTGTTGCAATACTAATTAAATTTTTATCTATATGGTAAATAACATGATTTCGGTGATATTACATATTACCTCAAATCGTAAAAGAAAATATTCGAGTTGCACAATGTATCTCTTCAAAGCTTTTATATTCATAATGTTCTTTTAATAATTAACTATTTAAATGAAACAATTAAATTAATCAATATTAAATCAGGCATACAAGAAATAAAAAACTCTAAATGCGTTAGTTTTAAGAGACGACAATAATGAGTATTCTTGATTGAAAGTTAAGTAGAGACTTTAATCTTCCCTTTAATAAAATTTTATATGATAAAATTATAAATAATTCGATAGAATAATTCCTGAGAAATCAAATTTTAAATAGACGACTTTTTTAAAATTGTATTTCTCAGGAAATATTGATCGATTTCGCTCAAATTTGACATATAGCATTCTTTTAAATGATGTAACTATCAAGAAAAATGAAAAAATGTTTTGTTTAAGAAGTTAATGTTACTTTTTTATATGTTTAGATTCTTGAGCAAGAGAAGCATGGACTGAGAAGAAAGCTCGACTCTCTTGTGGGAGATTACGACAGCAGAATACTCGAACTGCAAAGTGATATAGAAGAGCTTAGAAAAGAATTAGAAGAGCAGAACACTTTACAGAGGACTACAGAGAAAGAAAAATCTCAGTTACTGCAAGAGCTTACAGAACAGAATCACAGGTTAACCGCCCAGGTTAAGCAAGTAAGTCAATTAAAGATATATATATAAGGGTTCAGTTCAAATATAGCAGTGCTCCCCAATCTTTTTATCATTGCGCACCGGTCAACGTTTGATAGTTTTACCCAGGGCTAAAGAGAATAGAAGGGCTGGTTCACTCCTTTGAAGTAGCTCTCGCCGCGCCAATCCTCCCATTTTCTCTAGTGACGTCACTTTGGCGCAAAGCGCGCACTTTTACTTCAAGAACGGAGCTTTCGGCCTTACTAGCTCTAACTAATATTGGAGCATTTCTTTTTGCGACATATTCTAAGACATTTGTTATTTTCTATAATGACTTTCCTCAGTTTTTGCAGTGAATTTACAAGAATTTCAAACTAATATCGAAATGCCAGTTTGCGCGATTGCAACTTGAAAAAATGATAGAAAAAAAGGAAAAAATATAATTTCCGCGTGTTCCCTAAAGTAAATTAAAAACTATGCAAAGAATGGATTTCGAAATGACGCAGTTAATATAAAACAGCAATACGTTTATTCTGTCGTTAAGAATTTTTGTAAAAATTCATTATCTAAATAGAAACCGCCTCGTTACTTCAAAAAGAAACGCAGGTGAAAAAATGGATAAAGTCAAAGAAAATTAAAATGTGAATAAAAAGTATAAATAAAATATATAGTATATCGTTGGAATTCTCCTAATTTCATAACATATTTTTTAATGTAGTTATTCTTAATATTTATGATTTTTTTTTAAAAAATTATACTCTCTTAAATTTAAATATCTACAAATTATACCATCGTAAATTTAAATATCTATAAACCATTGTAAAATTTCTAATATCATTATGAACCTAAATTATTATTTTGTTTCAGAAATTATCGTTTAAGGTTGATGTTTCTTAATGATAAGGTATGAAAAAATTGCTATTGACGGCATATTTCAAAATCGGGGATTCTAAATTTAACTCAACTTATTGTTATAAAAGAATATGTAGATTTCAGTTCTAAGAGCGGAGTGAACTAGCCCTTCTATTCTCTTTAGCCCTGGTTTTACCGCACCCCGCTGGCGATTTCTCCATCTAATGACCTTTTACTACCCATTCTCCTGTTTGGCATTTTCTTAAATAAAAATAAATAAAAGAAACTTCTGATTTTTTTTTCTTTTTTAGTTTAAGAAACAAAATTTAAATGTTATTATAGTTCAAGTAACCTGTTTTGATTTAACAAATTTAAATTAAAAGATAAATTAAATTCCTATTAGAACATTCTCTTTTTGGGATCAACTACAGTCAAGAGGAAAATCTCCAAAAATGTTTTGTGTTAGACTCGTTGAAGGTCGCTGAGGGAAGGGAGAGACGTTAATTGTTTATATTTTAAAGTGTTTATATTTCTATTTGTTTATATTTTAGATTTTTTTTATTTCATATTTCTCATATTTTGTATTTTTTATATTTTATGCTTCTTATATTTTACTTTATTTTTTTATATTTTAGATTTTTTATATTGTAGATTGTTTATGTTTTAGATTATTTATATTTCAAATTATTTATATTTCAGATTGTTTTGATTTGATGATTTAAATTTATTTGTAATTATAAATGCCATCAAAATAAATCTTAAACGTCTAGTCCATGGAAAGTCGTACAAACCCGAGAGAAATGCGCTACAGTAAATAAGATGGAAATAATTTATTGTTCCTTGGGGGATGGCCCCGGAGTCGGAGACCACTGAGAAATATAATTTCTTTACCGTTATAATAGTCATTTACAAATTTAAAATGGATATCTTTGTATTTCTAAATAGTTATATGGTTTTATGTAGTTAAAATATTGCTTTATTTAAAGTTAAATCTTTAAATTTGAGTAATTTATTTCCTTGATAAGACACTTTTATCCTAAAATATCACTTAACTTAAAACCTGAGAAATATAACTGCGTGTGGGAAACAGGTTTAATATGAAACAAAACTGTAAAATTTTACTTATATTTCTGAAGTACAAAATTCAAGAGAATCTGAAGGAAAAAAAACTATAATTTGTGATTTTGTTTCCTCTATCATAATTCTGGATAAAAAAAAATATTTAATGTCTTAATAAAAGCCTTTAAGCATTTAACGCAAAATTTTCATTAAACATTAAAATTCGTACTTTTTTTCATTATTTTGTATTAATTTAGGTCAAAATAAGTGAAAAGTATTATATTTAGCATTTTAATAATTTATGGTTATAAGTTACAACATAAAACATCAATCATTAGAAAATGACATTTTAAATTATTTCACTAAAAGGTAAAGTTTCAAAAGCATGTCCTAAATAAATTTTAAGTTTGTTATTTTGCCAGTAAAGCTCTATATTTTTAAATTTTCATTTTTCCTTAAATTTTTTGAAATGCGAAATTTGTTCTCGGATTATTCATGAAAATTCAAAATCGTCTAAGCACACTTTCTAATTTATAATTAATTTAGGGGAAAAAATATGTACAAAAAATTTATTGACTAAACTTTTTTTAGTGACCCTATAACTAACTGTGGGCCTTGGCTTGCTGAACTATCTTGTTCCAAGCGTTCCTGCTCTTTACCTTTAATTTAAAGTTCGTAATATTCGCTACGGTTACATCTTTTATTAGCCCAGAGATGCTAACCTAGAGAGAGACACAATCATTTTCGGGTAGAGGACCACATAAACTCGTATTATATGAGCCGGCAGTAACATATATTCGTAAAAATTCAGGATGTTTTGAGATCCTAGTTAAAAATACTAATACGGATTACACATGAATTACTAAATTTTTCTTACACTAAGTAATATAAATTAAATAAATATATTTTATCTAAATTACTCTAAACACAGTTGAAGAAATAAAAAGCAAAAAAAAAAAATTTATGACAAATAAAAAGAAAATTGAAAACTTACAAAATTTCATTTACCTGTAAAGTTAACGTTCACCATTATATAATTGGAAAACAAAATTTGTTACTGTTCCTAATATTATATCAGATGAACGGGATTGGAATCTTTAATTCATATCCGTTAATATTCTTTTTTTAAATAAGGAGTCCCTCCCATTTATTTGTAAAAATTCATTCAAAATCAGGGGTCTGTTTAGAAGAAATTTGGGTCCGTTAACAGACCTTCCACAAAATATCTTTTCATAAGAACTGACCCTTCACAAAATATTTTAACTTTAAAACGGACCGTTCACAAAATAATTTATCTGTTAATCGAACCCTTAACAAATTTGTTTATCTTCATTGTTTTGTTAATCGAATAAACCCTTCCTAGGGGAGTGGGGGGAAGAAAGATAGATGTAAACGAATTAAGTTTTGTCTTCAGCAGACGCTTCTTCCTTTATTAATCCGAAATGAATATTCTGCGTTCAGCAGTATAGGCAAAATACTAAATATTTGTATGTTGCATCTCTAATTTAGTAGGCGCAATTGCTGTTTATTTTTTAAAATTTAATTTTCTTATTATTATAATTTTAGTGTTGAGCATAATCTTGTATCTCTTTACAATTTAAAAACTCATTGAAAAAGTTTTTCGCAATAGCAGGACCCTATTTGCACAAATTCACAAAAGCAGAATCCTGATTGAAAGAATGTGACTTAATGTTTATTTTATATTCACAAATTATGAGTAATTTTTTCACAATCTTACAAAAACGGACCTTTCACAAAATGTCTGGACAGAACCCTGGAAATTAAATTTTACTGTTAGCACTGAGCCATTGCCATAAACAGAACTTGCAAAATTAAATTATTACAATTTGGTACTCTGAGAAAGACACAAATAAATCAGTAACTTGCAGTACAAACTACAACCGTCAAAAGAATTTTCTGTAACATTTTTTTAAAATATATTTTCAACATTTTTTTTTATTCTTAAGTAATTCTTTAGTATTTTAAACAGTTTAAGGGTTAATTTAAAGGGCTTCAGGGGATATTCCTGGCTTCATGTGTTTTTCTCTGGCTCTTGGTTTAGTTTTTGGCTTTTTGGTTTTTAATTTAAGATTTTTCTCAGACCCATCTTTCTATAATGTCAAAATATAGAAAATTTCTTTGTTCATATCTGCCTTTAGAACAATTTTAAAATGAGCTTTGAAATGCTGGGTAGCTTACAATAAATTGATGAAGTTATTATTTTTGAAAAAGTAAAAACATTCATTTTATTACAAACTGTTCTACAGCAATATATAGTTGTTTTAATTTTTAATTAAGCAAGGCTATCGCAACTTTTTATTGTAAACTGTTCCGTAGCGGTGGATTTTTAGTTTTTCTAAATTCAAAAGCTCATTTTAACATATTTTCTATCAGAAAACATGAAAGCTCGAAATATTAAGAGACGACAGATGTCAAACAAAACAATAACTGAATAAACACTTCACTCAAATAAAACTTTTGCGTTTCTCTCAAAAACCATTTTGGTGCGTCGACTTTTAAGGGGAAAAGAAATCTATTATCTTCTCGAATTATTCAAAATCACGATAAAAACAACTCTATTTTTAAACATTACTTTTCGCTTTTGAGCAGTAGATAAAAAATGGCTGATTTATGGTTGGATCAACTGATTAATCCAACACTACAGTTTATTGCAAAATGTGACGCTTGAACGCGTGTGCTTTTAATTACAGATGAAAGATTTTTCGAAGAATTCAAGGAAAAGTTTACGCTGATTTAAGAGTTATTAAAAATGGATTAATTTGTTATTGCTTCTCATTTCAGAAGTTTTCTCAAGTCAGATACTTGTCGTAAAGTACTGCGAGAAAATGTCGTAAATTTCGAGGAAAATACTCTACCTAGCTTTAGAATAAAAATAAAAACCTTTCAGGCAAAAAAAGATTTGATATTGTTCTTTATCTAAAAGTAAATATATTTTAATAAGGTCAAAAAATTTCTGTCCCCCAGTCACCATATGCCACATTAAAAATTACAGTTGGAGCCTAATATATTTTTTTTAAACGGCAAGCACTGAACTCTCGTTCATTTGCCTTGGAAGATGTCGGCAGTGCTGCTCTTTAACATTACTCGGTGGGCACCTGTGAACCTTAATCACGGAAGCGAGCAACATTACATATGTCACAGATACCCGTTCATAGAGTGACCCACGTTCACTCTACAGAGAACAACACAGAAAGAAACATCCATGCCCTGAGTGGGATTCGAACCCGCCACTATTGGTTTCACAGTCAGGCACTCTAACCACTCGGCCACCTGCCTGGCAAGTGGTCTCCAAGGATCTTAGGGCCCAGTCCATGCCATAAAAAGGCAGTCTACACCGTTTTGGAGCCACCACTAAATTGCTTGTTGACAGTTTAGGTGCATAGTTTTGGGGGTCAGCGCCACACTCTTATTCTCCCATCAGATCTGACTAACTTAAATCGTGACTCACCTGACCAATCTACAGTTTTCCAATGGTCTAAGGTCCAGCCAATATGGTCACGAGCCCAATAGAGGAGTTGGACGTGAAGTCTTACTGTTAGTAAAGGCACTTGAGTCTGCCTTCTACTGCCATATCCCATTACAATCAAATTTCGCTACTCTGTCCTAACGGACAAGTCCATTTATTGTTCTACATTGATGCTTGTTGTGATTTCACACAATGTTTCTTGTCTGTTAATACTGACAATTCTACGCACACGTTGATGGTCTCGGTCATTAAGTGCAGGCGGTCAGCCACTACGGTGTCCAAGGTGGTAGATTATGCCTAAAATTAGGTATTCTTGGCACACTCTTGACACTGTAGATACGGGAATGTTGAATTCCCTTACAATTATTGAAATGGGATGTTCCATGCGACTAGCTCCAAAACCATTCCACGTTCAAAGTTTGTTAATTCTCGTCTTACGGTCATAATAACGTCAGAAACATTCTCAGATGAATAAACTTGAACACAAATAAAAGTCCTGCTTCAGCAGTACCCGTATATACATTTTGTACTAGATACTACAGCCACCTGCATATTTGCATACTGCTATCCCATGACTTTTGTCACATGTTTCTGTGTCCCAGTTAGATAAACGTTTGCTTTATAAGAAATGACCCCAAGGCAGATGTTCCAATTGTAAAGTTTTCAATGAGCCATTTGTATGTGAGCAATTTTATTATACTCTATGTACTAAAGTATATTATTAGATGATTATTAATATAATATGACTCGCTAATTCTCGAAATTATTTTATTTCATAATTAAAGGCTGCTCGGACGGAAGAGCAATTGCAAGCTCAACTTCAAACGCTGAGAGAACAGTTCAATGTTCGCAAATCAAACTTACACGACCATGTGTCACAACTGGAGGGTTTGCGAGAAGAAGTAATTATTATTATTTTTTTAACATTAATTAAAAATCGAAGTATTAGAAAAATTGATAAATTTTGCTTTGACTTAAAATATTTGTTACTACCTTACATTAGATCAACCTGCTGGAGGGTAGAAAAGCGGATCTGGGCCAAAGAATCCATGCTCTCACAGATGAAAGAGAAAACTTGAATCTTTCCTTAGAAGAATCTGGTGATAGGATAATCTTGCTGCAAAAACAAAATAGAGAACAAGAACAAAAAGTGAGTATAAAATATTTTATACTCAAAAGTTGAAGTTTTGTTCTCATTTAATTTTACTAGTAAACTGAATTTTCAATTCACATTTTCATGCCTGATATATATCTAATGGATATTGAATATTTCGTAAAGAATTCTTAATTGAATATTTATACTCCAAAAAAAAAACTTTAGTTTTAAAATGTGTAAATATTCATTGAAGTTGGCACAGAGAGCAATTTTAAATACCTCAGATAAAACTGTCGAGTCAAAAACTGACAAAAACCTAAAACAGTCACTTCAAAAATTGCAAAAATCCTCTTAGTTTTCGTTTGTTTTGTTAAAAATATTGTTCTCACAAAGTGTATAAGATCAAAATTTAAATGCTATTTTTTAATTAATTTACCCTGTGTTGAAGAAATATTTTCTTGAAAAATATTTTTTGCAGCATAAATATCTTTAAACATTTATGTATTCTAGAATACTAAAACTAAGTACTTAAATATGTACAGTGGTGGCCAAAAGTGTGGACACTTTTTGAAAGTTTCATGTTTTTCAACTTCGTGTGCTTGTAGAATATATTAATTTCCACTTAAATACAAACGTTTATATATCAAATTGAAGATAATTTAATGTGAAATTTAATAATAAATACAGTATTACAATATCTGTATTACAAAAAAAGTTATGCAATTAATAGTAAGATCTATCTTAGATTTGCATTTTTTTTTTAAAGTGATACTTACACAATCAATACTTAGTAGGATAACCCTTAATTTTTTAGACAGCTTCACAGCGTCTTTTCATCGAGTGAACGAGTGTTTAAAGTTCATCTTTCGTAATCACATGGTGCCAAGAATCAATTATAGCTTCAATAAGTTGTCTTTTATTAGATGGACGTTTTTTTCGTACAATAATTTTCAAACGTCGCCACAAATTTTCAATTGGATTGAGATCAGGGCTGTTTCCTGGCCATGGTAATATATCTATGCCTTTATTTTGAAACCATGCTTTGCATACTTTTGCTGTGTGGCATGGAGCTGGATCCTGCTGAAAAATAAATGGTGCGTTGTTGGAGAAGAGCTCCCTGATTGAAGGTATCAATTTTGGTTTCAGGGCAGTTTCGATGTATTTTTTGGCATTCAGGATGCCATCAATCACTTGAATTCGGTTCACACCATCTGCAGACATACATGCCCAAATACTGACATTTGTTGGATTTTTAGTAGTTGCTTCAATGCAATCAGGATGAAGCGCTTCACCTACTCTACGTCTCACTTATTTTCTACCAACACTTCCAAAGAGCGATATTTTACTCTCATCACTCCAGATTACTTGCCTCTATTGATTTTCTGACCATTTAATGTGTTCTTTTGCCGACTTAACTCGTTTTTCGCGTTGCTTTTGATTTAAATATGGTTTTTTCCTTGGAATTCTAGTTTGTAGTCCAAATCCTAATAACCTTCTTCTTATTGTTCTTGAACTTACTGCAATACCATCTGCATTTATTTCACATCTAATGGCATCTGATGACATTTTTCTATCTTGAAGGCATAGCCATTCAATTTTTCTATCGGTAGTAGCACTTGTGCATTTTTTTTGGCCTGATTTGACATCCTGAATGCCAAAAAATACATCGAAACTGTCCTGAAACCCAAAATTTATACCTTCCATCAGGAATATCTTCCCCAACAACGAACCATTTATTTTTCAACAGAATTCAGTTCCATGCCACACAGCAAAAGTATGCAAAGCATACTTTCAAAATAAAGGCAGAGATATATTACCATGGCCAGGAAACAGCCCTGATCTCAATCAAATAGAAAATTTGTGGCGACGTTTGAAAATTCTTGTACGAAAAAAACGTCTATCCAATAAAAGACAACTAAGTGAAGCTATAATCGATTCTTGGCACCTTGTGATTACGAAAGATGAACTCCAAACACTCGTTCACTCGATGAAAGGATGCTGTGTAGCTGTCTTAAAAATTAAGGGTTATCCTACTTAGTATTGATTGTGTAAGTATCACTTTTAAAAAAAAATGCAAATCTAAGATAGATCTTACTATTAATTGCATAACTTTTTCTGTAATACAGATATTGTAATACTGTATTTATTATTAAATTCTACATTAAATTACCTTCAATTTGATATATAAACGTTTGTATTTAAGTGAAAATTAATATATTCTACAACCACACAAAGTTAAAAAGCATGAAACTTTCAAAAAGTGTCCACACTTTTGGCCACCACTGTATGCGATAAATAATAATATTTTATAATAAGAACATTACATGTAAACAAAGGAACCACTAGAAGCTCCAAAAATGTAATGTTACTTTAAATAAGACATTCTTTTAATAGAAGTATGAGCCTTAAAAATTTTAGTAATTATTTATACCTTTAATTTTTATATGAGAAATCAAAGTAATAAAGCATTTTAAACTTAAAAGTTAAATTATTGTAAGTGCAGATTGCACAAAAACTTTTTCTATTTTATTATTAAAACTTTTAACACTGTTTTAGTCATTGTGATCTGACCACATTTCCACCATCATGCCATAGGTTATGAAATTGTAAAGCCGTAACGCTTATGGCACCCTGGCCCACTATTGGCTGTAACGGGAACGTTTTACACATTTACGTATTTGATTTATTAATTTAATTATACTATAAAAAATTCACGTATTGTGATTTTGCTTCTCATCTTAGATTTTTTGGACAGCTTAATCAAGGTTTTGACGGTTTTAACCAGATTAAAACATTTATCAAGAGCTTCAGATAAAAATAAAAGTGAGTTTAAAGCTGAAGACTCTGTGGTCGTATGAAATGATGCTTTTTGCGAATAATATGCTATTTCCATAACTGATGTGAGTTTGCAACACTTATTTATGACCTTTAGATCAAGTTTAGCCTGTCTTTTTAGCCAGCGCCCTCTATGTTTATTTTGGAAATGGCGCAAAACGTAAAGATGGAGTAAAGCCACAGTCTTAAGATAAATTAAAAGCGTTTGTGGTTTAATTTTTTTAATATTTAGAAACTTATTCCAATTCTGCATTATCTGGGCTGAAAAAAAAATTCAAAAGATTTGCAAAAAAATTAGAATAAGGCATTGACTTTTAGAATTTTCCTCTACGTGGAACAAATTAGCAATTTTTAAAACAATTTAATAACTTTTAAAATATTTTAGTTATTTTTCCGTTCTAAGGCCCAAATAATTCTTTACAGCAAGATGACATATACAGTTTAAATATGTAGCTTTGCTTTAAGTGCAAGGCACTTAAACTGTGGCTTTTCAATTCTCCTCAGCGAAAGAGCTTCGCAAAAACCTTGTGAATCCTAATCCAAAAACCTTGAAATGTTGATGAATGAGCAACGTCATTTATCAAAACTCTTTATGGTATCTCTCTTTTCATTTTCATAGACTATATTTTTAAAGCAAAGTAATTTCCCTACTCACATTGATAAAATAATCTCAATTCTCACAGTTTCCAAACAGCATTATTACTTTCTATTACATCAGGTGGAGTCACGAATTTTAGAAATACAAAGTAAAAACCTCTTTGAAAAATATTTAAATAAGATAACGGCATTTTATGAGAAATGTCGTTCATTGTTCGATTTATTCGAAATCAAAACAAAAGAGTTATCTCAAAACAGACATCATAATTTAATCATATCTATTTGTTATCTCACAAAATAATAACGCAGCCATGTGACTTATTGACATTGCCTTTTCTGTAAAAAAATAAAAAGCATTTAGAAGAAGAAAAAAAATATTGGTTTAGAATCATCCTCCTAATTTGATGTTTTATTCAATTTTTAGATCCGAAATCAGCAGCAAGATTTGGAGGATTTAAGGCAAACCAATTCGCAGCTGCAGGCAAAATTGGATGTACTGCTAAGGAGAAGTCCAAACGGCAATTCATCATTATTGGATGAAATAGAAATGTCAGCACCCTCATCAATGGAAGAGGATGCAGTTCGGCTGCAGGTAATTTGCACTTATTACAATTATATATATGTGTTAAGAGTAAAAACCCGAAGTCTGGTAAATCCTAGGATTTACCGGTAGCTTTAGCCAAAGTGGACGAATCGATAAGGCTCCGTCGTAATATAAAATTATGATTTTTTTGAAAATAATATGCTATTTTTATTACTGTTGTGAGTTTGCAACTGTTACTCATGACTGTTATGCGAAGTTTAGCCTACAGCCAATGCTGTCTTCGCTTAATTTCAAAATGGCGCAAAACGTCAATGTGTAAAAAAGCCACAGTTTTGTAAAAATGAAAAGTGTTTGTGGTCTAATTTTTTGATGTTTAAAAACTCACTCCAATGCTGCATTACCTGGGCTCATAAAAAATTTGATAAAACTGAGAATAAAGCACTTATTTTGATGATTTCTAAGTGGAAAAATGTCGCCAAATTGGCAATTTTTAAAAAAGTTTAATAACTTTTAAAATATTTAAGTTATTTGTCTGTTCTAAAGCACGAGTAATTTGTCACAACAAGATTATATACATAGTTTAAAATCATCGCATTGCTTCAAGTGTAAAGCACTCAAATTATGACTTTTTTTTACTTTCCTTGGTGACAGAGCTTCGAAAAACAGCGTTAATATACAAATAAGCTGTTTAATATGATTCCATTTCGGCTTTTTGCCAAACCTTTGTGATAAAACCTAGGACTTACCGAAACACTTTGGTTAATCCCAAATTAGGTTTTAGTGGTAAAACCTAGGATTTATAAGACTTCGGGTTTTTATATACACTAAGATACACACACGGGTGGAGGTGATAAAAGATTTCCCTCCTATAACTGAGAGAAAATTTTTTTAAATATTTCATTTAAATCCATTGAATCATCTATTTATAATATTTCCCATGTGGGAAATTAATATGTACTTGAATTTGTATTGTACTTCATAATTGAAATTGTACTTCATAATTGAAATTGTACTTCCAAAATAAAAATAATGAAACGAAAAAAAATTATTTTATTCAATGATATTTTCTTCTTTCATTTTCTTTTATTGACCTTTTTTTTTCTTTGTCAGACATAGTTTTTAGCACTCTTTGAATTTGTTGAATTAAGTATTGTTTCAAGCTTTCTTTGAGTTTTACTTAAAGACTTTGAATAAATGATTAATTCTATATTTAGAATTAACGGCAATAGACTGTATACTAAAAGGAGTTATTATTAAAAAATTTGTGTCTTATAACAGATGTTTTTCCTCGAGGCTTTTAATTATAAAGTTGCTTTTCAAAACAGTTCAGGTCTGTAATGTTATTGTACTGTAATGCTATTCTTATATATTGTTAATTAATGAAATTTTACTAAGTCAATGCATTAGATTATTTTTATTATCACAGTAAACCGTGTTTTTCATTGCCCTTTAGCAAAGTAAAGTTTTAAAAAAAAACGCAATTTGAAAGCTTTACACTTAGGTAAAGCTGTAAAATTATATTATTTTTCATTAAAATATTCGCACCATACATTCATTCAAGTATTATCTGGTCTTTTGAAAGTAAAAATAACTTAAATATTTTAAAAATTATTAAACATTTTTAAAAATTGCCAATTTGTCGAAAGTTTTCACTCCGATGAAAATCATCAAAATCAATGAATAATTCTCATTTTTTCAAATTTTTGATGTTCCCAGATAACATAGATTTGGAGTAATTTTTTAAATATTAAAANGATCATGGGTTTGAGTCCCCTTGCCGTCAGGCTAACCATGAGAGGTTCTCGTGGTCTCCCTCACCATGCTGTAATGCGGGTGAGCTCCATCAAAAAGTCCTCCAAGGAAGGCAAAATTTCTCCCAATACTCGATCCAGGAGTTCCCTTGTCTTCTGGATTAGGTTCAGAATTACAAGGCTACGGAGTTGAACAATAGTAGTCGTAAACCCATAAAATTGGGTCGGCTGTTCAACAGCTGTTATAAAACCTAGAACTTACCGAAACACTTTGGTTAATCCCAAATAAGGTTTTAGTGGTAAAACCTAGGATCTATAAGACTTCGAGTTTTTATATACACTAACATACACGCACGGGTGGAGGTGATGAAAGATTTATCGTCTCTAACTGAGAGAAAAAAAAATTTAAAATATTTCATTTAAATCAATTGAATTATCTATTTATAATATTTACCATGTGGGAAATTAATATGCACTTGAATTTGATCTACTTTCAAAATAAAAATAAAAATTATGAAACGAAAATTTTTGATATTTTCTTCTTTCATTTTCTTTTATTGACCTTTTTTTTCCTTGTCAGACATAGCTTTTAGCACTCTTTGAATGTGTTAAATTAAGTATTGTTTCAAGCTTTCTTTGAGTTTTACTCAAGGACTTTGAATAAGTGATTAATTCTATATTTAGGATTAATGGCAATAGACTGTATACTAAAAGGAGTTATTATTAAAAAATTTGTTTCTTATGACGGATGTTTTTCCTCGAGGCTTTTAATTATAAAGTTGCTTTTCAAGACAGTTCAGGTCTGTAATGTTATTGTACTGTAATGTTATTCTATTGTTAATTAATGAAATTTTACTAAGTCAATGCATTAGTTTATTTTTATTATCACAGAAAACCGTGTTTTTCATTGCCCTTTAGCAAAGTAAAGTTTTGAAGACTTTACACTTAGGTAAAGCTGTAAAATTATATTATTTTTCATTAAAATATTCGCACCTCACATTCATTAAAGTATTATCTGGTCTTTTGAAAGTAAAAATAACTTAAATATTTTAAGAATTATTAAACATTTTTAAAAATTGCCAATTTGGCGAAATTTTTCACTCCGATGAAAATCATCAAAATCAATGAATAATTCTCATTTTTGCAAATTTTTGATGTTCCCAGATAATATATATTTGGAGTAATCTTTTAAATATTAAAAAAATTAAAGTAAAAGCACTTTTCATTTTTTTTATTTTTTATTGTCGTTTTGCTCCATTTTTCGAAACAGCATAAATAGTGTTATCTAAAAAATTTATGAAACTAAACAGTCATGAATAACTATTATAAACTCGCCGACATTTCGAAAGTGACATATTTAGCAAAAAAGTGTTACTTCATGTCGCGACAGAGCCTTAAATCTGTGGTGAAACTGCGGTTAAAGCAGCTGTCATTGAGTCATTCAATCCCTGTTGCAAATTAAAGCTTACCGAACTTTAGACTGATGAGTAACAGTCTGTCTCAAAAGTAAAGGCTGTCGGTACGCAATGCTGATTGTATTATCATGATATGAAGTTGGTCTCGAAATAGTGAAATCTATACTTAAATGACCCCCTGAGCTTTTTAAAACATAGTTCTTAATCTCTTATTAATATTGAATTTTTTAAAAAATTACTTGATTTTATTTTTAAAATAAATTTTTATTTTTTATCAACAATGATATAAACTGTTCACATTTGGTGACGAAAAGGTTTATAATTAAACTAGTAACGTGTGCTTAATTAATATTTTAGAAAATAGAAGAATGAATTGAGAATGAAATCCATTATAATTGAAATAGGAAATCCATTCTCATCAAATTATATCATTTTCTAGGGTAATATTGCAGATGAAGACATAGAATGTGATGATCTAGTCCTTCCTTTCGCTGGTTTATTCCCCGAAGGAGAAGAAAATCAAAAAGTAAATATACTATTAAAATATACTTGCCTTACAAGCCTTAAAAAATGTTCTCAAATTCTATAACTTAGTTATTTATGTTACTTTTTTTCTTAACTCTGTGATAAAAAAAATTTTTTTTCTCTGTGATAAAAATAATAATTTTGAAAATAATTATAATTTTAAATTATAGTTACTGTGCATGTTCATTTTTTTAAAATTATTTTATTAGCAATTTTAGCAGGAATTCGTCTACAATTTAAAATAATTTCCTTTTTTAATTTTATATATCTTCGAGGATAAATCAAGGATAGAGTTTAGTCTATGCTTTGTGTTATGTAGACTAAAGCGAAAAAAGCTTTAATTAAAACACAAAAGTGAACATACTTTAAGTTTTAAATTCTTTAACCAAGAATCGATCATCCAATAATATCAGAAAAGTTACATTTCTAAAGTTTAGACACTAAGGAAGGTTCTTGTCTATAAAATCTAAACTATGGTTTGTTCATTTCTGTACTTGATTTGTGATTTATTCAATTTTTTTTTTCACGTTAGTTTAGCATTTATATTTCTTTATAAATGGTAAGAAGAAAAAATCGCTTTCGAATTTTACACAATCCATATACTATGAGCCGGAATGGCTCAGCGGATAGAGAGTTCGCCCTCCAATGAGGTGAGCCGGCGATGGCTATTGGATACGAATTCCACACCTGGCTAACACCGACCACAGTGCTGACGTAAAATATCCTCAGTGGTAGACAGATCATGGGTTAGAGTCCCCTTGCCGTCAGGCTAACCGTGGTTGGTCTTCATGGTTTTCCTCTCTATGCAACACAAATGATGTTCCATCAAAAAGTCTTTTACGAAGGTAAATTTCTCCCAATACTTGATCCAGGAGATCCCTTATCTTCTGGGTTGGGCTTAAAATTTCAAGACTACGAAATTGAACATTAGTAGGTAGTCGTGAATCCAAAATTGGATCGGCTATATTTAACAATTTTTCCTTATTTTGCTTTAATTTTCAACATTCTCATGTTGTGAATGCCATATTTTCAATATTTTGCCAACATTTTTATCATTCTCATGTTGTGAATGCCATATTTTCAATATTTTGTCAATATTTTTATCATTCTCATGTTGTGAATGCCATATTTTCAATATTTTGCCAAAATTTTTATCATTCTCATTGTGTTAATACCATATTTTCAATATTCTGCCATATTTTTCATCATTCTCATAGTGTGCATCCCATATTTTCAATATTCTAATAGAGTGAATAACTCGCAAAATATCGTTTCTAACGCATAATTACNTATTTTCAATATTTTGCCAACATTTTTATCATTCTCATGTTGTGAATGCCATATTTTCAATATTTTGCCAACATTTTTATCATTCTCATGTTGTGAATGCCATATTTTCAATATTTTGCCAAAATGTTTATTATTCTCATTGTGTTAATACCATATTTTCAATATTCTGCCATATTTTTTATCGTTCTCATAGTGTACATCCCATATTTTCAATATTCTAATAGTGTGAATAACCCCGCAAAATATCGTTTCTAACGCATAAATACTTCAAAGAAAGAGAAATGCAAATAAATGTATCTTGCTGTTTTTTCAATGTATTTTTCTTTTTCATCTCTTAGATGACTCAAGAAGTGATAGATATCTATCATCAGTTGAGGCGGTTGTGCTTTGAACTTCGAAGGCGGAAAGACAGTATGTCGGTGGACAGTGGAATCTCATCCACGACTCCAGAAGAGTTACAAGCTCACCAAGTACGAGTGGGAATGTTCTCAAACCTTCTCCAAGAATTTAAGAGCCTTATCGAAGATCTATTAGCTCAAGGACCTGATGTAAATACTTTCTCCTGTTTATTAAAATCTACAATACAGAATCTCAATTGTAACAGTATCTTTTCCCCTACCCTTTCTGCGCTTACAATTATCTCTTTCTATATTTAGAGGGCAGGAGAGTAATGTCGGTACTTGATATTCGGTACTGTCAATACTTGATATTTATTTGTCATGTATTAGCTCATATCGTTCTTCAAAGTCGTGCCAAAGACTAGTACCTCATAGTATTTTAAACGCAGAGTGATAATTATTTCCTCGTAAATAATTAAACCTTAATCTTATTTATTTATTTTCAAAAATGCGTATCCGATATTGTATATATATATAGTCGGACCTCTATTTAACGAAGTCGCTAAATCTCGATGAAAAAGCTTGTTATATGGAAAATTCGTTAAATGGAAAATCACCAATTAGAATACTTAAACAATGCAAAACAGGTTTTAAATTCATAAACACTAGACATAATTAAAATAGAAATTGATCCACCTTTATCTTGTAAATTATTATTTCTATCGAATTGTTTAAAATGATTTTAACATTTTATCGTAGATTTGGTGATTTCTTCATCATTTCCGTCTTCATCTTCCTCAAAATTTATTGCTGTATTTTTATTTTCCGCACTGTCCAAAATATCCGATTCAGTTAATGTTTTTGCGGTTGCAGCTTCAAAATCAATCAAAAGAAAATCATTAATCAGTACATCATCATTAGTTTCTTGGTTCTCTCTTAGCTGTACCCACATTTTTAAGTTCTTCTAAAGGAATGTCATCCCCGTCACTTTTCAAATTCTCCACGCTGACTAGGAATTCAGCTTTTGCAAAACTGTTATGAATAGTACGATATGTGACATCATAGTTCCATGTTTTAGAAATTTGAATGGTTTAGAATGTTTTAGAAATGCAAACAAAAGGGGAAAGGGATTTTACCGCTTTCTCTAACAGTTAAGTGACAGTGGAAATCAATTCCAGGTCATTTCCTTCATGAAACTTTTTAACATGTTTGAAATATTTTGGGAAATAGGGAAAGTGGATCTTAAAGAAAAGTTCATTGAATAGAAAGTTCACGTCGTTATATGGAAGTTATTTTACGAAGAAATTTCCAAAATGTTTTTGGTTCCTCGAAAAAAAATCGTAAAATAGAAGAATTCGCAAAATAGAGGTTCGTTAAATAGAAGTTCGACTGTGTATAGGGGAGAGTGGGGTCAATTGTAACAGGGTACGATTGTAACAGAGCAAAAATTTCGAGTATCGGGTTCTAGATTTGGTTCCTAGGTGGCGCACAAGGTGTATTTAATAAATATACATGTACACCCCTGATGGCAACCATTTTTATGTACTTTTGAAAGAGTTACATCACAAAAGATATTTTCATGCCCCGAAAGTACTTTTTTTGGTATTAGAATATTATATTGTAANAAAATTTTGATTTTAAAAAGCGGCGGCATTGATTTTATTAAAGGATGTTTTTAACATGTATTAATATTGTAACGATTCGGTTCTTGCCGATTTGATTTTATAAAGCGGCTGATTTTATTATCCAGTGATTTTATTAGCGGCGGGCACCGTACTTGATATTCGGTACCGTCAGTACTTGATATTTATTTGTCATGTATTAGCTCATTTCGTTCTTCAAAGTCGTGCCAAAGACTAGTACCTCATAGTATTTTAAACGTAGAGTGATAATTATTTCCTCGTAAATAGTTAAACCTTAATCTTATTTATTTATTTTCAAAAATACGTATCCGACATTGTATATATATATAGTCGGGCCTCTATTTAACGAAGTCGCTAAATCTCGATGAAAAAGCTTGTTATATGGAACATTCGTTAAATGGATAATCACCAATTAGAATACTTAAACAACGCAAAACAGGTTTTAAATTCATAAACACTAGTCATAATTAAAATGGAAATTGATCCACCTTTATCTTGTAAATTATTCTCTAATATCGAATTGTTTAAAATGATTTTAACATTTTATCGTATGAAGATTTGGTGATTTCTTCATCATTTCCGTCTTCATCTTCCTCACAATTTATTGCTGTATTTTTATTTTTCACACTGTCCAAAATATCCGATTCAGTTAATGTTTTTGTGGTTGCAGCTTCAAAATCAATAAAAAGAAAATCATTAATCAGTACATCATCATTAGTTTCTTGGTTCTCTCTTAGCTGTACCCACATTTTTTTAAGTTCTTCTAAAGGAATGTCATCCTCGTCACTTTCCAAATTCTCGGCGCTGACTTGGAATTCAACTTTATCTAAACTCTTATGAATAGTACGATATGTAACATCATAGTTCCATGTTTTAGAAATTTGAATGGTTTAGACTGTTTTAGAAATGCAAACAAAAAGGGAAAGGTATTTTACCGCTTTCTCTTACAGTTGAGTGACAGTGAAAAATCAATTCCAGGTCATTTCTCCCATAAAACTTTTTAACATGTTTGAAATATTTTGGGAAATAGGGAAAGTGGATCTTAAAAAAAAGTTCGTTGAATAGAAAGTTCACTTCGTTATATAGAAGTTATTTTACGAAGAAATTTCCAAAATATTTTTGGTTCCTCGAAAAAAATCGTAAAATAGAAAAATTCGCAAAATAGAAGTCCGACTGTATATATATATATATATATATATAGAGAGAGAGAGAGAGAGAGAGAGAGTTTCACAATAGTTTTTTTTTTCTTTTTTTTTTNTTTTTATTTTCTTTTTAATGGCGGGCACTTGGGGGTTGTCCCATTGGCCACAGAAATGCCAGAACTGCTACTCTCTTCTCGTTACCCAGTGGGCACCTGTGGTGAAGTCACGGCAGTAAAGCAGCCTCGTGCACGTCACACAACCACAAACCCGTTTATAGGGTGGGTCACATTCACACAATCACACACAAAGGAGAAAGGACATAGCAGAGAGAAAGAAACATCCATGCCCTGAGCAGGATTCGAACCCGCTACCAGCGGCTCCGCAGTCAGGCACGCTAACCACTCAGCCACCAGTTCGGCAGTTTCACAATGGTAGTAACTCAAAATTTGCTACCAAAAGCATTTTCAATATTTATCCAAGTGAATCAGTCAAAAACTGTTTACTAAATTCAAATCGGGAAGTCGTAATCTTTCTGATTCGGTCGAATTAGAAGACCAAACTTTGGAAAATTAATGAATAAGAATGGAAGGTACTGCCTCACCCACCACACTCTCCTGGTATCTCCCGTCAGGTTTCCCTATATTTCGATATGAGTGGCAAAAAATTTGAGCACTTGAATAATTTCCAAAGTGTTTATTCATAGTTCAATAGATTTTTATTGATCCAATATTGACAATTTGCCTACTAGAAGGCCGAAAATTTGTTGGTTAGGAGGGAGATTACATCATCGATTAAAAATAAAAACTTGTTAAAAATTTATATGCTGGAATTTAACGAGGAAAAAATTATTTTCTGATCCCCCAAAACTATTGTACATTATTTCATTACTTCTAAGCAGGCGCAAAATTATTAAGTATGTGGTGCGCAAAGGCAATAAAATAACACGCATTAAAATTTAGTTTTATAAAAAAAATTTAAACAGGCGTTGCTAAGACAACTCAATAATAATTACGATCTTGACGTTCCAGACATTGGGATGTAAAAGTATTAATAGATGTATGTATTTCATAGTAACTTGTAAGTAATTATATATATTAAATGTTGTGATGTCTCCAATTTATTTCGTTCTCGTTTATCCGAAATCGTATATGGTAGGAAGACTGAAAACCTTCCTTAGGAGTATACGGAGAACTTTTACCATTGTAGATCAAGATTCACTTTTCCAAGTAGAATTAAGAAAAGCTTTGTTGACTCTTATGGAAAGAATTCCAAAATGATTAAGAAGATTGATACAGCTAAATTATATGCTTTAAAACCCTATTTAAAAATATTTTAAACCAGCTTATGCATTAAAAATTATTGTATGTATTATGAATCATTGTTATAATTCGATTGCAGTTAATTTGAGCTATTTTCAATATTTTTAAAAAGTGACTAAGCTTGTTTTCCAGTATGGAAAATTATGTTTAGAAAATTGTTTTCAACGCATAGTTATCAGTATAAGAATCAGTATCATGAGTATTTATCAGTTTAAGTATCGGTATAAGTAATTTATCAGCATTAGTTATTTATTAATTCAATCCCTACGCAATGTTTATTAATTGTGGTTAACATATTTTGCAGCCTTGCCTTACTTGTCAATCTGTTGCTCTCGCTATGGATTCCCAAAACCTTGAGCGACTGAAGAAAGAACTTCAAGAGAAAACAATTAGTCTAAAAGAGAAAAGTGAAGAACTTATTCAATTGAATACCAAGGTAAACTATTAAGTGACTTATATTATTTTACAGTTCAAAAGTGGATAGCTTCCAAAGATCGATTTTTTCATATTTACTTCGTACAATTAGTCAAGCTGTATTCAGCTCCTGAGCAATTGGGAGAGAGTAACGGACCGGGCTGGTGTCTCCATACTTCGTTTATTAAATGTCTCTCAGCCTCCTATGACATCCATATTCAGTGGATATCCTCACACGTGGGTCTTTTTGGCAAGGTACTTCCTTCCCAGCCTCTGCAAGCACGGCCCTCACTTACTCTGAATTATTTTCTATCCGCAAATCTAAAGTTAATAAAGCTTGGCTTGTTCCACCAGATCACAATTGGTATCCCCGCAAGCATCCTGGAGGAGCCCTTGGCCTTCAGGGTACACGTGTCGACCAAACCGCTACCTGTAGATTTGTCAGTGGGCATACTAAGAGCCTCACTTTCAGTGGACAAATTAAACTTTTTCCATCTTGTAAAAAGTGCAACTCCAGCGAGGCTAGTCCTCACCATCTACTTGATTGCCTGGATTTAACCATGGAAAAGGTTATTGAGAGACCTCTCCTTTTCTTCGATTTTTTGAAGACTCACGGCCTCATGGATCTGGTATAGCTCCGCTATCCCAACTGGGATTGGAAACAACACAATTAGTCTACTAGCCTAAGGGCTTGTAGACTAATTGTACGAAGTCTAAAAAGTATCAAGTTGATTACTGAAGACTTCAATACTGAAGAATTTCCACTGAATATACTGAAGACTTTTCCACTTAGTCTGCAGTACGGTTACATTCGTAAAAAGCAGAATTTTTGAACAACTGGCATGCAAATAAAACTTTACCTTTTCTATTTTAAGAAGAATTCATTGTTTCAGATGAATCTTCTGTATGGCCAAGGTTACTGTCTGGGGCGAAAATCGCAATACGTTTTTTTTAATTATTATTGTACATGTGGGTCATTGCACTTCAAGGAGAAGAAGACAACTGATACCCACACATACGGCCTTTGACATCAACACTTATTGTTTATAAGCAAAATGGTGTGTTAAAGTTTAACTAAACTTCTCCCCATAAGTTAGAATGTTAATTAACGTGAGATTAATTAAATACAACGCCGTATTGAACGTCAAATTTGTTGAAATATATTTTTTTTTCGTCTACGTCTTTTACTTGACTTAGATTTATTATTTATTTATGTATTTTATTGCAACCTTGGTATATTTTTGTTTTGTGTAACTGGCAACCTCGATGCATAATTAGATTGTTTAAGTTCTACGTAACTCCGTGCCTGTCCTTATGCTAAAAGGGAAATATGCAGGAAAAGATTTGAAATCTTTGCGAAAGAATATAGAATCTGTCACTTAAGAGAATTAATACTTGACGAGTGTGGCTTACTCGAAAAAGAATGGAAAGAACAGTTGCAAACGAAAACAAATGCCCCGTTTCAACAACCAATCAGGATCGAGGTACCCACACTACGCTACTTGCAGGTAACCCACTGAATAACCAAGCTTACTTTATCCTGATTGGTATTTTGTTCGATTGATAAAATGATTTTTGTGCATCAAGTCAGACCAAACTTGCAAAACTTTACGTACGCATTCTTAATGAATACTTTTTTCAAATTGTTTTTCAAAAAAAAAAGTCAGTTTTTTCACAGCTCATCACACCAATTTTAAAATACTTGTATTATTTCAGAAGACCGCTCTTGAAATTAATAATTTTACCCTTAATTGTTTAGGAGCAGCATTACCCTTAATTGTTTAGGAGCAGCAATCACAGAAACTTACATTTTTTTTCTTTATAATTCACATCTAATTTATGTAACATTTAAAAGCATTACGGTAATTTCTGATGCCCAATGCTAACTTTAAGTCGCCTTTGTTTAATGTTCAATGTGCCACCGTTTCGTTAAAAGTCCTTATTTTTTAGAAATTCTACTTGTAGCAGAAATTAAATTTCTTGTACACTTTCATTAAACATTTACCTAAATCTGAAAACAAATTGATACAAGTACACAGACAGTACCCATCAGAGGCAGAGTTCTCTGTGATGAAGAAAATACTCATCATACCTACGTTTAATTCCCAAGAATTACTTTATTAGTTTGGGACATAGTTATTATGTATACTTATAGAAGTTTTTATTTATAATAAGATCATTAATATACAAAACTTTCAACAGAAAAAGTTACAATTACAGAGATGCCCTAAGCCACTTAAAGAAAAACTTTTGCAGGGGAAGGGAGTGACTCTTTATTTTCCAGTTCAAAATAACTTTCCTTGAGCTATTGGAATGTACTATCGGTATTCGGACAACCATCAATATCTCTAAAATGTCTTATTTCTTATAGGCAAGCATTCAAGAAACTGAATTAGCTGCTTTGAGGGAAGAAAGAGACCACCTAAGGCAAGATGTTGATAGTAGTAAATGGGCCAAAGATGAGATTGTTAAGAAAGCCTGGACAATGCGAGATCAAGCTGTTGCCAGGTTTGTTGTTCAAAATTTGTTGCTCTAAGATTTCTTGGTCCACATAAAAGCTATATTTTAGAAAATCTTAGTGGATAACGAACGAAGTGGTAATTTAGTAAATTTGAAGTAATTGATTTTTAAGATTCAGTGTCGATAAACTAAGCACTGATAAAAAAGCATAAAAACTCGAATAAAATCTAAAAAAATAACATTTACTTATTAGTTGACTAACAGTGATATTCTTGCTGAACTTCCAACCTTTATTTATTTATTTTTTTAAATGTCTCTTCTTGAATTACTTGAAAAAATGATTATTGAGGACAAGAAATGGAAAACGACTTAAGTCCAAAAAAGAAAATTTTTCAGGTCACTTGAAAATTGAAAAACACTCTCTTCTGCTACTTAGTTCTCTCCTTCGGTCAACAACACCTTGCGTATTAACCTAACTTTTTTTAAATAGCTTCTTAATATTGTTTTTTATCGTAAAAACTTATCTACTTTACCTATTTATCTTTTTATCAATTTACCGCATGTTTGAAAATGTCACATTGTTAAAATTTAAGATATTATGGCACTTAGGACGTTCTCCATTTTACTACGCATAGCACATTTAACCAGCGCGATCTTTCGACAAATTTTTGAACTATTGCTATTGGATTTCACACTTAGGGCGTTCTCCACTTTGTTAGCTTGATCTTCAAGACAGTTTTCCGTATCAAAAAAGTAACAAAAATTTACAAAAAAAAAAAAAAAAAAAAAAAAAAAAAACGGATTTTTTGGTACTATGGTCATTTTCCATTTCTAGTCTTATGTTGCTATGGCAATTTAGTTTTATCACTGATAAATTATATTTTGGTGGTGTTTAATAAAAATTTATCTCTTTATGTGCAGAAAAAACAATGTGGAAATCGTTCTCGCAAAAACTCGCATTGAACTTATGCACATCAATAGTCAACTCATGGAAGCTGTGCAACAAAAGGTTGAACTATCACAGCAGCTTGACCAATGGCAGGTAATGTGAAATCTTATTTATCTAAATCTCATTATTTTCATTGATCTTTCAGATTTCGCGACTTTTGATTGCTCTAACTGAAATTTTTTTATTTGTTTCCCTTTTCAAATATTACCAGAACGTGTTGAATAATCGACATTGCATTCTTTAATCATAAATAGTTTCAAGTGGAGAAAATTTTAATTAATTGATCAGTCAAATATTTATGTATGGTGTCTGTACGCTATATTCTGTTAGTAATTAATTTACTTGGTGTAGTTGTATTTTGCCGCTTGTCAATACTGACAGGCCTATTTTAAGGCAGAGGGGTGTGCTTCTTCTTGCTTTTCCAGTGGCACCATCAATGGCCAAGGATTCGAATCCTACCATACACATTTTACCCGTTTTACAGAGGACACATTCATGTAACATCCATGCAACCGCAGATCGTAATTTTGACTTGAACTAGAGCACGATCAATCTCCGATCCAGCACCTCTAGAGGTATTGATATGTTACGGCAACTTGGAAGATTTTGTGACCCCGTCATATTTACCTTGCACCAGTTCCCATTTAGTACATAGGACCAGTGGGTCTTTGGTCGGCTATCGAGCTCATGTCCTAACTCTTGGACATGGGCCCAACACCATACCAAAAAGGCTATCACACCCCATTTAATTCAGTAAAAAAATACATCAAAATAAAACAAATAATCCTGTTTTTATATACTGTTATGAACTACTAAATAACAATCATTTCAAACCCAAAAACAATTGTAAAGTTTACTACAAAAAAAAGTCGTCACAGAGCTAATCGAACAGCGCAGCCAACTTGTTATTATTTAAATTGCTATTCCAGCTTTTTAGACATTGTGAAAAATGCTGGAAGCCGTTGCAGCTCTTTATCATTCAAATGGATTGCGCAAACAAAAATTAAGCAATGTCTAATTTTAAAGTAAAAGCTTCATTCGTTATTCCTACTTATTGATATATCAATTTAAAATCTTATTTAAGAAGACACTTTTTATACCATTTTGTATTTTAATTCCTTTTATTAATGGTAATAAGAAAAGGGTTCAAAAACACGTCAGTATGTGATTTAATTTTATTTGTGTTTCAGGATTGTAGAGTGAAAGAGGCTTGAAAAATAGCGAAAAAATTCTTGCTTGAATTATACCGATAATTCTATTTAGCCTATATTATTTTTTTATTTTGAGCAAACGGGATGATTGAGATTGTTAATAGTGCCAGTTCTCTGTTGATTTGAAATCCATAGATGATATTTATCAGCAGGTCATTGTATTCAGAAGATTGCTAGAAGAATAATCATCCCTAACAGCAAAATAACTTGGGTCCTCATTGGATCAATATTCACAAATCTTGTCGCAGAGCCGAAATGGCTCAGGGGATAGAGCGTTCGCCTTCCAATGAGACGAACCGGGTTCGAATCCCAGTCGATACGAATTCCGCATCCGGCTTGCACCGACCACGGTGCTGACGGGAAATATCCTCAATGGTAGACGTATCATGGGTTAGAGTCCCCTTGTCGACAGGCTAACCATGGGAGGTTCTCGTGGTCTTCTTCTCTATGTAACTCAAATGCGGGTTAGCTCCATCAAAAAGTCCTCCACGAAGGCAAATTTCTCCTAATACTCGATCCAGGAGTTCCCTTGTCTTCTGGATTGGGTTCAAAATTACAAGGCTACCGAGTTGAACAGTAGTAGTCGTAAACCCATAAAATTGGGTCGGTTTGTTCAACAACGGTTATTAAAAAAAAAAAATTAAAACTCTTGTTGCAGTAAGGGTTAAAAGAGCCGTTATTTTACGATATTGACCCGATATCGAACTATCCACTTCACCCGATACTTTACAGCAACTTTGCAACCAAATATTGACTCCATATAGAATTATCAGATTCACCCGATATTTTATATGCAATATTCAACCCATATTAACCCTATGGCCTATATTAACCCTTCATAGGACCAATATTAAAAAATCTAGACATCCCAGCATTGGTCCCTCCGTGCATGTTGAACCCATATTGAACCAATTTTGAGCCCCATTGGGGCCAAGATAAAATTGTTGCTAGGGATACCTTTAAATCTCATATTTAAATCGAAACATACAGTTACTTGTTTTTGAGCTGAACTAACTTTATTACCTTAAAATATAATATTCTTCCTTTTTTTCTACCTCTAGTTGGATATGCAAGCCCTCCTTGATGAGCAAATGAAAAAGAAACTAAAAACTTACGAAGAGAAAGAAGAAAGACGTCCAAGTCGACAGGGACAATCACTAAAACGTCCTGCTAATTCAAAGGGAAAACTTTTTAAACTATTCAGGTGATGGAACTCACCGAGGACAATCGAAATATATTTTTTTTTCTAATTCATTTTACCTACATGACTTGTCTCAATGTATGCAATCCTAAATACTAGTTTGTTTTTTAAATAGTTGTGTAAAATACTTTTTAGATTTTTATAAGCGTTGTTAGATCTCTTTTCAAAAAAAAATCAATCCTCTTGTTCCAGAAATTCACCATAGGCAAATATATCATCTCTTGCTATGCTGTTCATATTGGAGAATTCTACTTAACCTTTCATGATGTCAGTTGAACCCCCATTTCGGAACAAAAAATTGCATTTCTATTTTTGTGGAATTCTTGTCCTAAATTGCTGCTTAAAAATATTCACTAAAGTCAATCGACCTATGTCTTTTTCAAGCAGGGTGAGGTTAAGGCCAGAAGGATTTCAATGGCGAAATAAATAAATTAAAAAAAAAAGAGTTTTTAATTGTTTTAAGATACCAAAAATGAATTCAGATAATAGTAGCTCTTGGCAAAGAGGTAGGGAAAAAAAGGTCATTTTTATTAATTTAAGAGTTAGAAGGTTGTAATAAGTGACATTAAAAATATAAACTTTAGAAGGGTTACAAACTGCTAAAAAAATACATTTTTATAAAAAGAACAGTCTTCTTATAAACTGGCAACAACAAAAATGTAATTTCTATTCAAACAATTTAAACCTAACAAGTTTCTAAACCTCGAATGAACTCCCTAAAATTGAACTCTACCCCTAATTCTTCCTTGTTTACTGTGCAATTTTCCTTTTGAAATGTACTTAGTAGCCTGACATGAGTGACTTAATATTCCAGAACTCAAAGTCACGAACTCCTTAGATGCTGACGTAACAATTGAACTATACAATTTCACACAAAGTAATTATTTTTGCCATTGAAATTATTTTGCCTCTTGATCTGTTTTAACGGATGACATCATACGGACTATAGGGAATTTTAAGGATTTTCTTAATGAGTATTTTTGCAAGAATTACCCATTAACTTCAGAAAATAATTTTTTAATTGGAATCTCTGCTTTTTATGGCTCTTTGCGAAAGAACGATTTCTACGTCTTAAAATGAATAAGAGAATCTATTTTTAGCTATGAATTAATATAGAAAGACTCTTATGAGACATTCTACATTATATATACACATAGGTTTGCTGGAATAAGCTGTGTTGTTTGACTGGAACAAAAGGGTTAAAATTCTTCCTGGATACAGTTCTACTCAAAAGCATATTTGTGATAAAAGTTGCCTATTGCCTACATCTCAAACACAGGGACCAATATATATATATTTAACGAATGGAGGGATTGTACATACATATGTTTGTTAACTACGTCATTCCTTGTATGTAATGTGTATATCGCATTGTATTGTTGAGGAATTTTTTTATTTATTTAATTTAGTTTTTTCCTAGTGCATATATGTTTTAGTTGCAATACATTTCCATCGTTGTGTGCCTTAAGGTGCTTCATCAGCAGACAAATTAACTTTGTTTCATAATCCGGTGATAAGAAAAAGTATTGTTCCTTGCATTTCATTTCATTTATTGCTTTTAAGGAAATAGTTTTAAAATTGCATTTTAACAACTCTTAAGCGAATGAACTGTTTTAAAAAATAATTTTATCATTATACCGAACAATTTTACTTTTTTTCTATTTCTTTCCTTCTCTATTAGTTAAAGGAAATTTACCTTCTCACTGAAATGCAAAAATTTTAATTATTATAACTTTTTTTTCCCATTTTCTTTTTTAAAAAGGTATTGAATATATTTTCAACATCGGCTTATAACAAAAGAGGTTTTAATTATCATTGAAAACATACAATAAAATAAGTTTAAATGCAATCGAAATTAATAATTATAATATTTTAAATTAGGTAATAATGTGTGTTATTACTTAATTTACCTGTTGTTTAACGCCATTAAGAAAATTATAAGCTCAAATATTAAATGATAAATAATCGTAACTTCTTAGCAATCTATATTCTGGAGCAATAAATTGATTTCTCTAATTAAAGAAAATATTAATAATTAATTTGGAAGTATATTACTTAAACTTATAAGGATTTCGTCTTCTCTCTTTTTGGTACATGGAAAGTTTAAATAGTTTAAACTAAAGAAAAATGCATTTGAAAGTGACCTTAAAATTCTCTTCAGTTGTGGATAAGTATGTGATTGTAACTTTTTTTTTACTGATCAAAATCATGATATTCACAAACATCAGGTCGTATAAAGGCATAGTCAAACCGTGGAATTGTTTTAAAGTTTAAAATACGCTGTCTTTGACTAAGGTAGCACAGTTCTATGACTGAAAATATTTATCGCTTTTATCTTTGTTACTCTTTTGTTTCCTTTCAAATATTAAATTAAAGAACATTTTAAATTAAAGAAGTGTTTAAATTCCAGGTGTTAAAGTTCTCTTAACACCTGAATAACCTTGTTTGTATAAATTATCATTTGCATTGATTTTATGCTGTGTAAATACTTGATGTTGTTATCTAAATTTTAAATTGATTTATCTTTAAAAGTTGAAGGCTTTAAATTATACTTATTATTTTTCTGGTACATTATATAGGACAGGGTGTAATGCATTGATCTCCCTTTATCTATCTTTTTAAATCCTGTCAAAACTGAAGCCAGAGTAGGATTTTTTAAGTGAGAGAAAATTAATATAAAAGAGGAAAAAAAATAAGATGATATCAAAGTTTAATGAGCCACTAGTGAGAAAAGCGGGACAAAACCTGTTTCACTGCTTAATATAACTAAAAAGTGTTTTTAACAACTGCCTTGCACCACATCTCTGTGAATCAAACTGGTTTTGATGTTTTCAGTTCTCGCCTTTCTCAATAATGATTCAGTGGCTTTGCATTTTATTTTTATTTACTTTTTATATTAAGTTTTACTTGAATTCTAAAAATAAATACGTTGAGGGCGGACATCAAGATACAACCTGTATAGTGAGATAATACGAAGAAAAATTCAAGTGTTAGTTTCGTGAAATGTGTTGGGGTTTTTTTTCAGAATTTTTAAAAGACTATATTTTTCAATCGTTATAATGCATGGATCTCATGAACACAAATCTTTGTTACTCTGAAAATTGAAAATCTTAAGAGTTGGGTAATGTATGTGTTAAAATTCACTCTTTGTTATAATCATCACTCAAAATATGTTACATTAGATATGTGTTATAAAAAAATAAAAACGTTGATGTGTTATAGAGAATGTGTGTTTTTCTTTGTTTAAATTATCATTTTTTAAATTATTATTTTTCATTATTTCATTTAATGAGTGTCGAAAAATATTTAAGTGTAAAGCATACAAATGTTTACATCATTTTTTAAAATGTGTAATTTTTATTGACAGAATACAAAAGTTGATAGAAACCGTTGGAATAGTTTGAGTATTTAAATTTTAAAAAAATGGTATTATTTTAAAATTTAATTTCTCAAGAACTATTCAATAAATTTTGTTAACATTTTGAATTTTGTCCTTTAAATTCCCATGGTAAAATGGAGTAAAAATTTGTATTTCTTTCAAAACTTTTTCGACACTTAGTAAATAAATTAATATAAAATAATGAATTAAAATATGAATATGAATCATTGGATTAAAATTAATTTTATAGATGAATTTATTACAGAATGAAATTTTTAATTTGCTTCAAAGAGGAACCCAAACTTTCTACATAAGTCCTGACTAATAAGTCGGGAGTGCAGATTACGACTACCCCCCCCCGATACACACATTTTAATTCATTTGTAGAAACTCAAATCAGTCACAAAAGGGCATGTTTATTCAAATAAAGTGCATTTTTGTGTCTGATTCTGAAACTTAATTAATAATTAGCATATTTGTCATCGTGTCTCCTCCTGAAAGATAATTAATGATGTGCACCTATGGCACCGAGGGTCCGTCTGTAGGGGGAGGGTACTATTTTCATAAAACAAACCAACCAACCAACCAACAAATTTGACTTCTATATAAATAATACTTGAATTTTTATATGTAATCAAATGCCGAATTATAAGTTGCTTAGTTTTATTCTACTTATTGCAAATAGTTTTTTAATAACCAGTTTTGATAGCTATTAATTTTTTTTCTTCTATTTAATATTAAATAGTAAATCACACAGTCTAATAATAATTAATCATCTGAGAATTTGCCATGAGAAGAGTCTCCCCAGGTACAGAATCCTCTTCTCAAAAGTATTCAGGAGTACTCAAAAGTATAAGTATTCAAAGTTTTGGAATGCAGCAATAGAGAAGGTAGATAAGAAATGATTCATTTGAGAGTTAGTAAGGTGTGGTTATTCCAGGAAGTGAACAATTCGTAGTCCACATTGATGAATGGGCAACATATGCATCTAAGAATAAACTGCTCTGAAATGTATGGGGTTTAGCCTTATGAGTGCAAGGATCCTCAGGAAAAGAAATATAGTTTAGGGTATTCAGACGAAAGTGAGTAGGTGTTTAAAACTGTAAGGATGGGAAGTTATGCTATAGGAAATGATAATGGTAAGTACTTATACCCATTCTATTGATAGTTGACTGAATTATAATAAGATAATAATAAATAATTTTTAATGGAAAGATTTACTTTTGGTAATAAAATTTATTGAATTGTTATGCGAATTAGATAATTATTTCCTTATTAACTTCGGAAAAAAGAGCATTTTTCTTATATGTTTTTTTTTCCTTCATAAATCGGAAAGGTTGTTTCTCTCAGTTCGAGTCCCAACTGCTGCTGGTTGATACGAGTCCTACTCCCGGATCGAGCCAATCACAGTGCTAATATAAAATATCCTCAGTGGTAGACGAATCAGAATCTCATGGTGTCATCCAGACGAGGTTTTCCTCTCAAAGAAACGCACATGTGGGTTAGTTTCAAAGTTAGAAGGCTATGGAGTTCTACAATGATAGTCGTAGACTCAGAATTGAATTGGCTGTTCAACATCGGTCATAAAATAAATTAATTATATGTTAAATTAAATCGGTTTATGTTTTCGATCATGTGCGTGCTTTAATTGAAAAAATTTACATTCTTATGCTAATACAACCTACTACTTTGCAAAAACATCACTCGTTTTCAAACTAAAAGTATCATAACCAAAAACCTTTAAAGTTATATAAGTGTGAGCATTAAGATGTTAGGAGCTAAGTGTTTATAATTTTTCCATGTGCAAATCCATTTTGGGCAAATCCGTGGGTAAAATTATTTACTAAAATTTCTTTTCTTTGATAATTTATATAATTATTCTATGTGCAAATCCATTAAAGCAAATCCGTGGCTAAAATTATTTGCAAAACAGGCAATTTATGTTTCCTTAACCTTAAAGATTTGTTATGTTTCCTTAACGTAAAGATTTGTATACCATTGAGAAAAGCTGATCTAGATCTCCACCAACGAAACAACAACTTCTATGGAGTCCTCAAAAACATCTTCTAAAAGAAATAAATATCCATTATTTCACCCCGAAGTTAATTAAATTCAACATGTAAACCCACAAGGCATTCCTGGTGAGTCTTTTCCGGCCTCCGGGTGGCCAATTTTTCCATTTTTGAGTGTTTAAAATCCGATGTTCCATTGATTTAGGCTTAGAGTATCAGACCGCCATATTAACGTGTCATCCACTACAAGTGGAATC